TGGATTGATTGCTTTGAATTGTGTGTCTTTTAACAATGCAACAGTTCAAATGTAAATGTAATGTGTATATAATTGAAAATTATATAATAAAAAATTTACACTTGCAATTTACACTTTGTTTTTAATGTTTTTATACTGATAGGAAGATAGCGTGGACGTTGTCTCTGTCTTAATGTAATAGCTACACACATAATTATGGAACAATGTGGTTTAGTAAAATGTTACCTTTTTTTCATGTGCTTCAAAATTGTGTTTCACATGGTTTCTTCCATTTAGTTTTTACCAATCACTGCAGATCATGTATTAGCCAATGTGCTGTTCCCAATAGTACCTGTGATTGTATTAGAAAGAGATATCAATATAGGTCTGTCAGCTGTAATTATATTAAAGTGCAGTGTTCTGCTTCATGCCCCCCAGGTAGAGTGTATCACAGGAAGACGCCCTTAGGGTTTAAATAAAGTTCACATTAATGGCTAATAATGTGTCATTTGAAGGTCACATCTCTAGATCACCTGATTTATATGACTTTTAAGAAGGACAAAAGTAGTCATTTTCACTAGGTTACAAGGTTATAGTTAAAGATTCACACTGAAAGGCTGAAAGCCACGTTTTCACGTGCTGGGGTTTGCATAAGCTTATGTGACTTGCGTCAGATATATGGCTTAATAACTGATGAGCCATATCAGTCTGTCTGTTTATTTCACTTTCTGTCTTGATTAACAGTGTCACAGTGCCTGACCAGTGAGTTACTATATAACAGGAAATTCGAAGGTTAGCGGCGGTGTGTCATCACCCTGTAGGTTACTGGGTTACAGTAGGCACTCAGCCAGACATAATTATGTCTCATTGGTGCTAATAATTTAAACAGGTGTGAGTTGGGTAGGGCAGCAAGTAATTAAACCATTGACGTACATGCCAGGTAGGGCTGGCATTATGGTTGTAGAAGTGTGTGATTATATAAAGGCTATGATTTTTGCAGGAACTTTCATACAGTGGGCAGAACTGCTTTATTCACACATGAGAACGACAAATAAATGTCTCTCAAACAATTCAAGAGGACAAAAAAAGTTGATATTAAAGGGCAGACGTCTATGCTCGGCCAGCAACCAAGTAACTTAGAATAGCTAAAGCATTCAATAGATATGTGTAAATAATTTGTGGCTAATTCAATCAGAATTTAAAGTCACAATTATGCATTTTTTAAATATAATTCAGTGTATTATTCCAAAATGTGCATTGCCATTGATTTTATATAAAAAATAATGTTACATAGTGTTCAAAAGTTTGGGATCAGTAAGATTTTTTATGGTTTTTTTTTTTCAAGTTTCTTGCTCATCAAGGCTGTATTTATTTGGTCAAAAATACAGTAAAACAGAAATATTGTGAAATATTATTGCAATTTAAAATAACGGATTTCTATTATAATATTCTTAAAAATATAATTTATTCCTGTGCTGGCAAATTTTGTGCTGGTCTTCAGTGTCTGAAGACCAGTACAAAATTTGCCAGCACAGGAATAAATTATATTTTTATGTGACACACATGATCCTTCAGAAATTATTCTAATATGCTGATTTATTATCAATGTTGGAAACAGTTGTGCTGTTTTATATTTTTGTACTGACCCCAAATTTTGGACATTAGTGTAATTTATTGTTATAAGAGATTTCTATTTTGAATAAATGCCTGTCTTTTTAACTCTTTATTCATCGAAGAATCCTGAAAAATATCACGTTCCAAAAAAAAAAAAAAAAGCAGCACA